CGACTCAGCGAAAATCACATGCGGCGTCACCCATTGTACACAAGATACTATCGGCGAAGTTGGAGTAGTAAAGTAAATCCGGATCCGGGTTTCAGACTATTGTGAAGTGGTACCTCTACAGAAGGAGTTTCCAAAACACTGTTCATTCTTAATCGTTCATTTCAGATTAAGGACATTGGTTGCAGACTGACAAAGCATTGGTCACAGCAGTGATACATTGCTCGTAGTAAATTTACCAGTCTGTCGAAAAAAAATTTCTGAAGAGAAGTAAGACAACAAAACTTTGACCTAGTGTACCAGTCTCAGGACTAAACAGGATATTCCGAGGGTCACTAACTGGCTTGCGTCTACTTTTGATCTAGTAGCAAAGCGTCACCTTTCGGCACTTGGATAATGGATTAAAAACATCCAATTCCACGACATGTTAATCTCTATCCGCACGTTGATTCTAGTACGCGGATACACTCAGATTGCAGTGTGCACAAACGAAGCAGAAATTATATAATCCGGAAGTATTCGCATATCCCACCAGAAAGCGTTGGTAAATTGAAGGGCACTCTGGAAGGAAATCGGCCAGGCAGTTTATGAAAAAGGTAGCTAACAAAATCATTGGATACACTAAATAAATGAATGGAATTTGTATGCTGTTTGAAGCTGGGTCATGAGGGGCGTGTTAGAGACATGATCATTGAAGGGACAGTGATTGAAGCTGTATTAGCGGATAAAGAGACTCAATGTCTGACAGCAGATGGGTTTACTTTAAGCAGCGTGCAACAATTATGCGCCAGAAGATTTGGTATGGCATCTGATCTCAGATAATTTGTCACGATTACCTTTTGAGGTCTGTCATCGAAGACCTGATATTTTCTGCCAGGGCTGACGAGAAAAAAAGTAGATTGTGGTTTCTTGAAGACCTTTATACAGTTTTACGTTGTACGCTAATGCTGTATTGTAAAGTTTGTTAGAATGAATCCAGCCCTTCACAACTCTCTCTGGGTAGTCCTGGAGTATTACGTCATACAATTTTTTTAAGGTGAGAATCCATAAGGATTCAAAGGCACTGTTTAACCCTAGGTGGATATTCGTCAACTTCTCCAACCTTTGCCTCTGGGAGACTGACAGTATGTTGATCGTCTTTAAGCGTCAACATTTCATGCGCAAAGTGGTACTGAGATGGTGGCCGGAAATGACAGAACGTTAACTTTAAAACGCGCAGGACGGTTTATCGAAATAGGAGGAATAAATTTAGAGCCAATCCTTGGTAGTTGGCAAGTATTTTGGTAATAAGTTCGGCCAATATGTTGCACTGAACCTGGAAGTAAACTGACCAGAACAGGTAGACATATATGGGGAGTCAGTAACCGCGGTACGGCAAAGCAGTGTAGTGTGTCGAAATCCAGAATCAGAGAATATGAGTTGTTCATGATAGGTCCTAGTTCGTCTGGAAAAATTACGTCAGTGTCAATGCCTCAGTGTTTGATAGGTAAGCAAACATCCATAAGCCAAAGTTTTGATCACCGATAAATTCGGGTGTCACATATACATGTAAATGAAATAAATTTGGTGAAGATGTTGAACTAACACATGTCATACAAATCGAGTCAGGTATTCATTCTTGACTGAAATACTTATGTAGGGATGAAAAATGTCGCGCGTGTCTGAAAGCTGGAAAAAACGTTTTTCTTAGCAAAAAGCTGACTGTAGGTTGCACTTCAAACTCAGGAAAATACTTGCTATGTTTTGTGAAAGTGATGATAGCCATATTTGATGTTGAAGACAAAAAGTAGGAGTTTACGGTCGAATAAAGTTTACCTTGTGAAGAGTGCTGACATCCTTTGAGAATCAAGTTAATAAAGCAAATTGAAGATTGGGAATCAAACGAGAAATGAAACATGTGATACGTGACAGTAATTCGAATAATTTGCGATGCACCAGGGGCTTAGTCGTGCTGGATGTATGTCAATTGGTATTCTGCGTTAGGCACATGCCAATAGGTTAGGCATTGAAAATTTTCCATACGAGTTGCCAATAAAGGATGTGAACATAGATAGTGGTACATACTAGTAAGAAACTTTGAACTGAAATCTTTTTATGTAGATCCATTTAGACTGCAAATTCGGCCGTCTAAAAACTCTAGTCAGCTCTACTGAACAGCGGAATTCACGGATCTTGGTTGGTCTTAGTAATGGTCGTAAATTTGTGACGTTGTCTTTTCCAGGCGTTCTACATGACCATCTAATTGAGATACTTCACTCTCGCCGGCGAATTTTGTTAGCTAAGCTAGCCAGAATTTCGTTATATCTAAGCCCAGTAATGGCGGCGACTATTTTTAACTCAGCGCTGAATTGTATTGAATGAACATAAAACGCAAGCGAGTAGCTAGGTACAACGATAGGAGAGAGCACATTGAGACGGTTGGAATAATTCGCTGAAGCATGGGCCAGACCCGCTATGGTGTGCCTCAAGTATCAAAATTGCCTTTGATGAAATAGAAGAATTACTAAACTACCAGATTTTGTTTTGAAACTATCTACGAACACGTTCGATTCATTATCAGCATACCTTTTCTCCTTCCCGTGTGGTCTAATGAAAAATTTATAAACAGAGTAGGCTAACAGTTTGGGATTACGACCTTATTCTCGACGAATCAGTTATCAGGTTGCCCTCAGTTTTTCTGGACAATCATATTAATGAAGTGCGCGGGAACTTTGTGTGGACAGATAATGCAGAAGTGGAGCATGTAGTCAAACTGAGCATCAAGTTGACTATTCGCCACTCGTGGAGGGCTGTAACTCATAACCCTATTCGGCGGTGTGGTCTTGAAAGCTACCAGCCGACTGGTGAGAACAACTGGTCCCAACTTGCAGAACTCGTTTGGAACCTTCGGGAGTGACATGCTACCTAAGTAGGATAAAAATCCTCCCATATGGTAAGAAGGATCTTGGTGACAGATCCGTGACAGGATAAAGATGCATGAGAGAAACGATTTTTTACGGGATGTCGACAACAGAAGTAGTCTGTAGAGGTCGTCGTCTTAATTCTGGATCAATAGTGGGAAGCTTTCCAGAAAACGAACTTGTTTCTTCATTGTCCTCCAGAGGACTTCTTTTCTGAGGAAACTTTTGTTTCTGGAAAGGAATCAAATGCCTGCAAAGTCATCCATATTTGCGTGGAGGCGATAATATCGCCTAACACAAGAACACAATGGATGCTTAGGATCGGTTTCCAAGAGATTCGTGTTATTACGATAGTCTTCAACAAAGCGGTGATATAGAATGTTTTCCTGGAAAGTGGAAAAGCTCAGTGGATTAGGCGTTATCGAGAAGTTATCGTTTCCTGAAAAAAATATACTTTATGGTAGCCTGAAATTGCCTCTTCTCTTGTCAGCTCCGTCCATTGAAGCGCAAAAGTACTTTTGGTTAGAAAATGCCCTTAGCTATTCATGATGAACAAAAACACGCCAATAATGGTAAGGAAGCGTTTTTGAAAGGGAACTGAGTGTCTTTACGAGGTGATAAGTATCCATAACTACCTACGACCTATTGCTCGCTTGGAAACGGATGGGATCAAACACCTACGTAGTGCGATTGGCGTACTCACCTCGGGGCATGATGTCGAGAAAGTATGGTTTGATGTAAACGGCATGCTCTCCCCTCGTTATACAAAATCTTTCCTAATCCCCGTCTTTTAAATTGCTGCACATAAACCAGCATCTACTGACCACTCCCTTCTTAGCACGCATGCTATTTCCGCAATTACGTGCCATTCTTTGTTTGCTATTTTTGGCAGGACGAATTCAAACTGCTCCAACCTCAATGGATACTGCTACCTTTACCTTTGGTTTCCCAAATAAGTCTCACTCTCTGCCTCAAGATACGAGTATATCTCCGATTCACAATGCGACTGGTGGAATGGAATCTTATGATAACTGAATAGAATTTACAAACTATCTTGCTTAAGCGATTGCCGAAATTCCTGTGAACACCATTTTGTTGACCCAGCTGCGTTTTCTGCCATTTTGACAGGACAAGAGATGACTGAGCGGGACAATCGTGCGTGACCACCAGCGCAACTGATGAGACGTACACACGGACTACGTGAGAGGGCACTTAAAACATAAGCTCATTTGGCTTTGCTTGAGGTTTTTTAAATCTAAAGTTTGGCTGCCTAGCTTTCACCGGTCGGATGGCAAAGTTTGCATAAGCGAATAGGATTCTGGTCGTACTGAAAGTCAAAGAGAAGTCACATAAACACACTGTAGCAGAGCATAAGAGTTCGGAAGCGCAGTCCTTGGTCGCATGGGAGCAGAGGTGCTAAACTGTGGATGCATTAATAACATATTGCCTCAACCGTAAGCGGCGTTGCGCACAGTGGCACTCCTCAGTGGGCGCAGCATGGTTCATGGAACGTGATCAGGAATTACCAAGAACCGAACTTTAATGATATCTATACAAATGTTTACGAAACGTTTGCTATCAGATCCCCAGGCTCAAGGAACTGATTGATAACCACGAGAGAAACAGGCACGTTATTCGTAAACGTCACCGACGATTGTCGCTGTCCTTTGGTGAAAATGTTGAGGTTGTCTCTTGGATGTTACGAAAAAACCATGGGGCAACCTGGCTGACTTTTTATGCCAGCTGTTGAGCGGACAATGTGAATTTGGTGTTTACTGATAAAGTAGTCACATATAAGGTGTGTAAGATAGAGTAGCTCTCTTTTCTAACTTCTGTCACTTACCAAGGAGCAGAATCGCTCATTTGAACTCCGAATATCAGCACTCGGGGTAAAGTTTCGTCTGGAATAGCAGCATGGGAACTTCATACAGTTTTGAACATTAGGCACGTGCTCCATCAGGCAATGAATCGTGACAGCTGTGTATGTCACTGGTTGTGTGGCTGAACATGTCTGTGAAGTAGTACATCAGTCAAATGCAAGTTTTGTATTTCACAGACCAGTCGTGGCAAAATACGTTTTCGAAAAAATAACAGGCGAGCTACTTAGGTGATCCTGAGTGAAACCGATGACATCCAGGCAACCTGGTGTCTGAAACACACAACGTCTGGGTCGCAAACGGCCTAAAATATAACTCTGGAACGCTTTACGCAAACTTAACTGAAAAAAATAAATAAAATTAAAGAAAAGAAGATACGGTACGAAACATGGCGCCTTTCTGACGACATATAAAATGGAATCTCAGCTATACTCATCATGGTTTTTCGTTATAGAAATTAAATAGTAGGATGATTGGAAGAATGTTCCTCGTGCTTGGTTTGTGGATGGTTCCTGATAATAACAGATTTGCGGTGCATCTCAAATTTTTGACATAGAATAGCTTCACCGAAACGAATATACAGTCATGAAAATATAGCCCTCACACTATGAATACGTATACTGGTCTATTCAGTGAGCCCGCATATATGTGTCACCTACCTACGGAGGCTGCTCTTCTGGAATGGTGTGGTAAAAACTTGGAAGGCAAAGTTCCCAGTATCTCGCTTCTACCGGAAGTGAACATGTCGACAGACGCCGTGAGATTCACAACCAGTTTCGGCCACTTTTGGCTGAACGAGACATTTCACTGAAAAAGGGTTGATGCATACTGGCCTGATACCGGATAGATCGTATATGCGGCTGAGCATTCGTAGCCCCCAGAATTCTTCAAAATCACTTTTATCATTTGGTTTGTCCGAATATAGATTTAACCAATGGAGTTTTCGGCGGAACCCTCCTATTCAGTTTCCATTACTATGTCCTTTCTCAGTCCGATGGGCATTTTCGTGGATAGTGTAGATGGGAATCGGCAAGTGAGGTATATTTATGAAACTACATTCGTTGTCCCCCTATCAGTTCTTGTACTCGTTTGGTCCGGGTAGGCGTGACACGTATTACTCATGTCAATGTAACTCAGCTAGATTAAAAGCTCTTCGTTCAAAGGAGTCCAGTCATTTGAGATCTCAATGGACTATTATTCGGATCACTCCGGCTGTTGACAATAGCCAAGAGCTCTTCTGGAATATCTTTTCCAAAGATACTCTGCAGTTGCCTTTAGACAGTACCACTAAAATATCAGAGCGGCGGCCAACGAGGATTTAACGCAACTCGTCTCATTCCTGACGATGAGGCCAAACCAAAGATTGGCGGGAACGAACTAACTGATCGAGTGGGTGTTTTTTACGGTCAAAAACCATCCATCGCCACATGTCGTAGCGTATGACCAGGTACGCTGAGTGTTGTGTGGGCATTTGTTCACTGTGAGTGATACGATTCGGAGCCTGGGATAGCTTGATGTAAGGCGCGAACCAGAAGTCCCGCAGTTTAATCCAATCCTGGAATCCCGACTGCTGCTGCCTACGCACGGACAACCTAATTTCGTGCTTAGCGTAACGTCTCACACCGAAAGAGGGGAGTGTTAAAGCGGAACTATTGTTGCATTTTTGGTCCTGAATCACATGCAATCCAACATCGGTGGCCATGAGATCGTGGTCTTTCTACGGACAATCTATCCGTTCCGTAAGCACTAAGATTCTGTTGTTTAAAAAATCCTTAAGTCCCTTTTGTAAGTAAACCTTCTATGGTTATAATGCACATATACCGACAGAAACAAGTGGACGTTCAAAATCACTGTATGCCTGATGGATCTGTATGCGACCGTTCCTTCACAGTGCCTTGTCACCTCCTTGAAATCACTAAAAATTAGTAGTCAGCTAGCAGTAAGACTCTACCCTCAATTTTTCAGGCAGATATGAGTGTTAGTTGTGACAAATTGTTGTGGTTTGTTGGTTTTTAATCTGCTTTGAAGTTCAAAAACCGACATAGACATTATATGACTAAATTCGTATCAGTTAAAGTGAAGACACTAGCCTGTGATGGGCGTTCAGTAAGCCTTGATTGTTACCGTGGGACTGCAATGATCCTATTAACTGATCACACAAGCCTCTGTTTCCGCATCGCCAATGCAAGTGATCTGTTCCGTTTTGCTGCGCTTTACACGTACCGTGTCAGCAAATATTTTACAAAATGAATTCATCCTACATCATTGTTGGTTTCCCCACTCCGTTCAGACAGATCCGAAGGTCATGTGCCATTGAATCCCCACGTTGCCGAAAGGTACTTTCCGGCCAAAAAGTTACAAATTGTGGGAAAGACCCAATGGGAATCTAAAAATAGGGGAGTTGTATGTGAGAATGCAATGTTGCATTTTAACTTCGTCCAATTAGGAGCTTAAGACTGATAAAATCGTACCAATACCAATCGATGAACCATACTGCTAAGCAAAGTAAACGGGAAATTCCGGCGATGGGCAAACTTTTGTTTAAACTTGGAACAAGTGTACGAAATTTCAATTGTCCAAAATAAGAATGGAGTGTTATGCATCAAACGTGGCTAACTTGCATTCCAACCATGAATATGGGTAAAGTGTTTGAACAGAATTTTACTACTTGTGAGAATTTTTATCAATGACCGTTGTCTGCATTTTGGAAAATAAAGACCTAGGACGTTAAATACGACCACAAGGTCAGGCATTCTAATTAAACTCAAGATACCGGTGTGAAATAGGTCGGTCATTCGGATACTGATGAGCCAAAATTTCATTAGTCAGCTAAAGTATGAAGAGTTCGCACAGAATCCAGAGGATCTGAATAATATTTCGATTTCGTTTTCGTGGAGACCGCTGTGATTATCACGTAGTTCCCCCAAAAAGATGCTTAAGATTCGAAAAACAACAGGGAGATCGGTGTTCATCATTCAACACTGCATTCGCTTGTATTGAAATTTACTTCAGCCGTTCAAGGCAAGCTCTGCATATGTATTTTAACATTAGCGCAATCCTTAATGCGAACCCAGCGGCCTACAGTTTTATGTATCACACCTTTACCAGACTGTCAGCGGCTTATTTAGTCATCGGAATCTTTGGTAATGTTCTTCATATCTACTTAGCCGGGCAGTTCTTTACGACACCGCATGCGCTACTGAACAACTGTGTTGAAATCGGGTATCGAAATTTCTGGAATCAGTAAGCAGAATCTTAAGTGCCTTCAGAACCACCATCCATGCCAGCCTTAACTATAGGAGTAATTTAATCTAACTGAACATCATGACAGTTTCTACGTTCATTTGCTTACTCCAAGCCTGTGCTCTGGATCTTCACTTGTCATGCTCATATGTACCCGCCGCGATGGCCACACCGTCCGACATTGTGTGTATGAATTTGCACAGCTAACCTACTTACCCGTCTGCTTAGCCTGTCCAGAATTGTTCGCGATTTCCATATGTTCGCGCCGCTAGTAAGAATCACGAGACTGGCCTCGGAGTAGACAACCAATCCCACACTATTGAGTCAATATTTCACTCGTTGTTTGGTTTGCGGACCTTAAGGCTGCAAAGTGCCGATCCGTGACAACCGTAAGCCATGCTGAGACCATGGACGTGGAAATTTTAGGTCTTTTGTGTAATTTGTCTAATCAGTAACGTAAGCATTCAAGGCTTTTTTCTTCCTTTCGATAGTCGGGATAGACAAACATGCGCGTGACTCAGAGTTACATATCGGACACNACTTGCGCCTGTCCGTAGCTTCCGATTATGGTAAATGAGCAGTCACTAAGTGTTTAAATTCTTTTAATTTATCGAATGAGTGTCTGAGGATCAGGCCAGATACGGCTTGCGGTGCAATCCACATTTTTATTCAACAGAAAGTGCCGTGCAATACAAGTCTAAGAAACCCTCAGTGTATCAGTTTTCGGAACAAGGTATCCATGCGGCATCTCTCTGTTTCCCCTCTTTCATTCCACAAGCCGTATTTTCACACGGCTGACCACACACATAGACGTTCGCCCTTGGCTAGTACGTCATTGAAAGGGAAACCGATTTTCTGCATTCAAAAAACCCACCGACTGCCACGAATTCCACACAACTGTCTCCAACTCTGAGCAGACCACCAACGAACAAGCCAGTTATACGGCGTTTGTGAAACTGAAAAACTGCACAGTACCAAAAAGCCAAGGGTTTCCAAAAACACCCGGAAGGTTTAAAATAATACACAGCTGTATTGTCCTTTCAGTCATTTGTGGGATTATGGCGTGATGAAATATTTCAGGAAAAAAATTCTGTCAAAGGTGATCTTTGGGATACAAATAGGATGCAAATATTCCCCACATGCGACTAGATGGAATGCCAAATTCTCTACGTGAACATATCAGATGTAAAATCATTTATCTCGCTCCCTTTCAGTTCCGCCCCAAATATCGATCCTTGGGGCGAAAATATTGGATCGTAAAGGAATGTTGTTAATCAATAGACTTCAAATAAGAAGAATGGGAATATGATGCAAGACGTTTAAGGAAACTGAAAAGGAATGATCAGAGTTTGTGTGAATAAACGGTCCTATGGTAACCGTGTAAATCCGGAAACATATTAATCCACATTAATCAGGCCGTCTAGCGCGCACTTCGTGTTTTTGGCTCATGTGACATTCCTCGAAAGTGAGTTGTTTAAGATCATCATCATGGATCAGCACACAATTGGGTTGTACGCACAATGTTCTTTGAAGAGACGTTTTCCTTCATCAAAGCCTCGTAAAGTGATAAAAGCGTGCTGTAGGTTGCATCAGAAAATTTGTTCATGTGGCTCAAAATCAGACCTGAAAAAGTCTCCGTCATCCTCTCAAGAGATAATTGGCGCGTCTGGAAATTCCCTCAAACACCAACTTCCGATCTCCTATGTAGATTATAGCTTTTGAGTTGCGCGTCTGGAAATTCCCTCAAACACCAACTTCCGATCTCCTATGTAGGATTATAGCTTTTGAGTTTTTTTTAAAAAAAGCCCTTAATAATCCCAGTCCTTTCAATGTTGGAAGACTTGTTGCATCAAAGTAGTATACTGGTATCAATATGAATTTTACTATACGCTGATATTCTAACCAAGCTTCATTTCAAACATTGTTATCCTTGAGTAGGGGTCAATGGAATCATATTAGAACGAGTTGAATCTGAGTTTTGTGAGTGCAGTTCGGTCGCGCTAAATTCTCGTATTGCTTGTTTATTGTTATTCGCAGAACTGTGGCTGGTGGCAAATTCAGCTCTTGCCGTTACCCACTTTAAGCCTAAATTTACACT